AAACCGATGTTTAACGAATTTACCATTCGAATCGGTGGAAATCCCGAAACAGAAGAAGGTCGAGAGTTTCTAACCAGCTGTAGCCCATTGACTCGCGCCGACAATATCATTAGACCTTTGTTAATTGCTCAGGGTATGTTGTTAAGTCGCTTGCGTCATTTTCGGATAGTGCCTTATTGATGTTGGATTCTTCATGATTTGCAGGTCAAAATGATCCACGCGTAAAGCGTTCCGAATCGTACGTACCGTATATTTTTTCTAGAAAGGACTATCTTTGATTATTTTAGTCAGTATATAATACTAATAAGATGTTAATCTTTCGTGAAATTCGCGATAATAACTTTCCCTAAAAAGCGATCAAATTGTGGAGAAGCTCGTGTCCAATTCAATTCCAGTGGGTTATATTCTTTATACCGATGAAGGTCACGGATTCGCTCGACCAGCGAACAGCCTATCGTTCTATTCCATTGTGGAAAAATTCCTGGCAAGGTATTTGGATGGAAGGTATGAAGAGTTTGGCAATGCCTTCGAGGATGCCAAATTCGAAGTACTAAATGGGAAGGAGATTTTAGGTCTAGATTAGGGTCATATGTAACTAGATGATTAAATTATTTGTACGTCAGTCTTGAAATACTCGATTACTGAACTGTTGCGTACACATCAATAATTCCGTGGCAAACGCATCTTTGGGCGAATATTCACGTGTTAGACACAAATGTTAAATAAAAGCTTTGAACAAAAAATTGTTTAATCAACCTATAACAAGTCATTCAAACACTTTAATACATGATACCATTCGTTCCATGACACGTAACCATCAGACATAACAGTTTCAATACTTTTCACATCTATCGTTTTGATATACAAAAAATTTGAACAAAATATACAGTATAATAAAATAAGATAACAATTTATATATAGATATTTATAACAAAAAATTATTTAAATCATTTTAATATAGAAATCTGTTAAAAAATAATAATAAATAAAATAACCTAAATTAGTAAAAAAAGATGTTTGTATGAAATTATTTAAAGATTTCCATAAGATTAATTTAGAAAATCAAAAATGAAATGATTTTAATATTAATGTTTAAAACATCATGATTTTTTCACAAGTTGTAAAAAAAATTATTATTATTACGTATTAATTTTTTATATTCATTTTATTTTAACCAAGTTTACTTTAATCAAAAATTTTATTTTTCAATCATAATTTACAGTACATGTAAATTTCTATATTGAAATTTATAATTTAAAAAAAATTTTTTTTAGCCTGATCTATAAGTTTATGATATAATAATAATATACTGTATTATAGATTATTAGAAAAAAGATTTAAAATTCAATTTATCTAATTATAAAAACTTGATACAATATATTAATAATTTCAAAATTTATCAATATAACATTACAAAATTTACCAATATAATATTACAAAATTTATTATTATAATAGGAAACAATATAAATTAAAAAAACAATCTTTATATAAAAAATTTTTTTATCAATATAAATATTATTTTTTAGTTTTTTTTTTTTATTTTAGTTTTTCTTTAATTTTTTTAATTAGAAATAAAACCATAGGATATTTAATAATATTAATAAAGTTTTGATATATTGGTACTAATTTAATATTTTTGAGATTATATTTATAATAACAAACTATTATAAAAGTAATTTAATATAATTTAATATATATCTAAAATAATTTATAAATAGTAATTTTTGTAATATATAAATATATATATAAACTAAATAACAAAAGTCATTAGACAAGACTTAACTAATTAAATAAATATATATACATATATATATAATATGTTTATTATAATTAATTTACAAAAAAAACTTTTTTTTATATACAGTGTGTTAAAAAAGTCTTTAGAAAAAATTATAAATTTATTTTTATTTATAATTCAATAAATATTTAGTGAAATTAAATAAAAATTTGCATATATGTTTTTTAAACATATAAAGAATAAAGTTACTTATAAAAATTTTTAAAATGTATTATAAAAATATTATAAATTTTTAATTAAAAAACATGAAACATATTTTTTTAATATTTTATTTTGTTACTACAATTATAAATTATATAAATTTTCTAAAATTTTTTAATATATAAATTTATTAAAGAGTGTCTATATATTATAAATTGATTTTTTTAATAATTTTTTTTATTTGGCAAACTCAAAATTTTTTTATTAATATATAATTTTTATATAAAATAAAATTTCTTTTTAAATTTAAAAATTTTTTAAAAATTAAATTTATAAAATAAAAAAATAATAATTTTGAATATTTATTTTAATATTATAAAGAGTATTTAATAATTTTTTATTTAGCCAAAAAAAAATATTTTTTTGATTTTATAACTTAATTTTTTTAAAAAAAATTTTTATTACAAATAATTATATATTAAATACAAGATATTTATTAAACTAATTTATTATTGTTATGTTAATAACTTTTTAAAATATTTTTTTATAATAAAAAACATATTTTTATAATTATTAATATACAAATTTTTATATATAATTAGTTAATAAATTTTGACATACTTAATTTGTTATTTTAAATCAATATTTTATAATAAATTTATTAATAAATTATTAATTAAATTTTAGTAATTTTATTATTATATTATAAGAAATATATTGTTAAAATTTTTTAAAAATTAAATAATTATTTATTAAATTATAGTAAAAAATATATATATCTAAAGATTTTCTTAATATATTGTATAACTTTTTTTTAAATTTTTTTACTTTTATAGTAATTTTCTTCAAAATCAAAGAAACAAATATTTTTTTTACCTTTTCAATATCCAAAAGTTCTTTATACCTTCTTTTTTTTCATTATAAGAACTTCAAGAAAATCAAAAAAATATATTGATACATTGGGATAGAATCTTTAATCAGGGAAAAGCAAGTTTGAGAATTTTGCTTTTTCTTTGAATTGTATAAGAAAAGACCTATAATAATTATTTCTTTATAAAACTTTCTTGGGATTTTTTTTTTTTTTAATATATAACTCTTTTTAAATAATTTTATTTTCTGTTTAAAGGACTTTTTTTTAATTAAAAAATTAATCTTTACATTAAAATAGTTTATATTGTTAATAACCTGTGAATCCATAGCACAATGTTTAATATTTCACAAATCAAATCCCAAAATATTAATTCAATTTTATATGAGGGTAGTTAAATAAAATTAATATGGTATCTGGCATTATAATCTATAAAAATACTGTTTCTTATAAGAAACCATTTTATATACTGATTCAGTAAGCATTGAGATTGTAATTTTCAGAAAAGGTATCATAGTACAATAATTGTTCAGTTAGTGTTACGATAATTGCCAAAAGTTGTAAGATATATGAAATATCTGTTTTCAATAAATAGGTTTGGTATTTACTCCTTTAATATCTGATATTTTTATACAAATATTTGCATTAGTTTCATTCTAATCTAATAATAAACTGATCTGATGATATTTATCTTGAGAAGATATTTGGCAATAAGACCTGCTCTATGCAAAGTTATATAAGTTACTGTTCAGGTAGTAAGAACCAGTTATAAGTCTATCTTGAATATTCTTGGATATCATTTGAATAAGTAAGAAATCAAATAGTTAGTCCAGCTGCAGGTAGTTGTAAAGGGATTTATTCCTGATAGAGCAAGTAGGAATTATTGTATATAGTTTTATTTGTCATAGATATTACTTCTAATACCCTTTTTCAATTTCCTCTTAATTTTTCTTCAATAGAAATAAAGCTTAATTACTAGTAAAAATGCATACTACTGACCAAACAAAAAAATTTTTTTATTCAGTAGATTAGCCTCTATACCTAGTGTAAATTAGAAACAAGTTACAGCAAATGTCATTATTTGGAGCAATTCCAATAAGAGTTGAATGTTACTAGCAATCAATACATTATAACATTGTCTTAGATAAATGTAAACATTGTTATTAGGAATAACTTCCAACCAGACAATTACGCTGGTGCATAATAAAAAAAAATTTTTTTTTATTCCACACTGTATATTTTAAATTTTGATAGCACCGACATAGTTTTGTAAAAAGTGACGCATTTTATAAGTCCTCTGTAGCTTAAAGAAGAAATTTCGTGAATTTATGAATTTTTGGTGTTACATACACTGTCGTCCCATACGTAGCAGAATCTTATATTTTGTAATACCCTTTTTATACAACGGCTTAGTTATTGAGGTCAACCTTTTCCTCAAAATACTAAATAAATATGTTTGACAAACATTACAAAAAGGGCAAGATCCATTTAGAAAATGTTAGAAAACAAAAATCAGATAGTCATCTTAAGGAAGCGTTAGATTCTTATCAAAAGGCAATTGAAGAATTCAAGGCTCATGGATCCTCCCTATTTCATGACGTAGAAAGACGTTTAGCCGAAGCTTATGTAGAATGTGGTGATATCTACAAATGATTAGGAGAAATGGATAATGCTAATACTTGCTATAAAGAAGCTCAAAAGTATGGACCGAAATACAGCGAAGCATTAATCAAACCTGAAACATCAACAAAACCTGTGCAATTAGAAAACATACCTATAGAAAGTTCTTTTATCAGTCCTATTGTACCATCAACCTCTTTAATAGAAACAATGACGCCGGCATTTTTACCAAAACTAAAGTTTTTTATCCAAGATCCTCTAGTAACATCCGAGCCACATTCGAAGATAAATGACAAATAATATTAGCAGCACTCAGGATTTGGCCTATTATCTGCAACCTAATAATCATACTCAGGAACAAGCGCCACTACTAATAAAATTATCTCACGAAATTATTGAACTATTTGCCCAGAGGAAATTCAAGAAGAAAGAGAAATCGTCGTTTTGGCATCTATTCCAAATAAAGAAATATATGAAGAATTGTTAGAATTAAATATTCAGGAAATTAAAAACTCAACATTATAACATTCCGAACATTTGATTGGCTTAACTCAAATAATTCAAAACATGCCCAACTCTCTCCTAGGAATTTAGTGGCGATTTTAAGAATCTTACATTCACATATAGAAGATCTGCATAAACAAGATGAGGCTCAACTCAGCGAACTACTACAAACAATCTGTCCGTTATTAGATGCCATGGTGCGGTAGGTGTTAAAGGTATTAGGCGTGAGAAGCTACATGCGCCATTATATAAACAGCTTAAAGAGTTAAAAGATAATCCGGCGTTAGCTTACCATGCTCACTACGCCTGCCAGGCATTGTTGTATAACAAGTGATGAAAAATTATGGCAAGAAGTTATGCGTCGAACTTTTAAAATTGCTAGTGGAACTATTAATTTAGTTAATGCGATTAGAAGTTTAGACCCAAGTAAATTACTGGACACCTTTAAAGATTTCGGTGAAGCATTTGAAGGTTTTAATGAAGTTGCAATTCGCATTCGAGAATTAGTCGAGACGATTCAAACATTAAGAGAAGGAGTAGGGTTTGAACAGACAAGACAATGGTATTTGGCTCTACTATTTATAGATATTTTTATTCAAGAAAATCAGTTGAATAGACTCGAGCAGTTTGTTCGTCAGAATCCCTATAAT